AAAGGAAAAGAGGGGGGGGGGAGAGATAGGAGGGTAGGACAGAGGAGGGGCTTGGTGGATGGATAAATAATACCAAGGATATTCAAACAAATCACATAGAATATATATTATGTATATATTGTTTTCCCTTGATTATATATATATATATATATATGGCATTTCTGGGTCATATTTTAATTCTGTCTATAACATGAGATTGTGTGTGCGCATCTGTGTATAGTGCATGCTAAGCCTGAGCTCTACCACTGAGCAACGTTCTCAGCTCATGTTTATTTATGAGGAACTGCTAAACTTTTTCTATGGTGACTTCACCCTTCCTCCCCAGAAATGTATGGATTCCAACTTCTCCACATCCTTACCAATATTTGATGTTCTTTTTCCCCTCCCTCCTTTCTTCCTCCTTTCCCTTCCACCATCTCCTTCTTTCCTCCCTCTCTAAGACATAGTCTCGATATACAGTCCAGGTTGGCCTGAAAATTTCTATGTAGCAATCCAGATGGGATTATAGGTGTGCAATACCACACCCAAGTGATATTTTCCTGAAGAAATTACAGCCTTCTTAGGTTGGTGAGATGTGCTCATAAAATGAATACAATAAAAATGAAATAAAAATTGTAAAAACTCAAGAAATTATAGCCTTCTAAAGCAATTTTAAAATATTTTTAGAATATTTATTTTTATTTTATGTGTATGAGTGTTTTGTCTACATGTGCTAAGTGCACTTGTGCATGCAATGTCCAAGGAGGCCAGAAGAGGGCATCGGATCCCCTGGAACTGGAGTTACTGACAGTTGTTAGACACCATGTGGGTGCTGGACATCAAACCTGGATTCTCCACAAAAGCAGCAAGTGTTCTTAATTGCTGAACAATCTCTCCAGACTCATGAACAGTTTTTCATGTGTTTACTGGCTATTTGTACATTTTCTTTGGGGAAATGTTTATTCAGATTCTTTATCCATTTTTCAGTTGGATTGTCTTGCTCTTATTGAGTTGAACGAGTTCTTTATATTTTTAATCTAGGCCTTTATTGGATATTTGATTTGGAAGTATTTTCTTCCTAGCCTATGGTTGTCTTTCAATTTTTTGTTTGTTTCGAGACAAGGTTGTTGCTAGCCCAGGCTGACCTCATGCTTCTCTTGCCTCTGCCATAGGAAGCTTTGTCTTTGCAATTTCTTGTAAGTGTCCTTGGAGGCACAAGAGTTGTTTTATTTTGATGAAGTTCAATTGATATATATTTCCCCCTTTGAGTTCATGTGCTTCTGGTGTTAGATCTAAGAAGCCATTGTATAACCTAGGGTTACAGAGAATTATGATTATGGTTTCTTCTAAGAGTTAGTATTCTTTTAGCCCTTACAATTAGGTTAGATCCCTTTTGAATTAATTTTTTATTGATATGAAATAAAGGTAGAGTTTTTTTTTTTGGAGAAGTTGATCTCATCCTATCCCTACCACAACCACACAGAAAAGATATTTTACTGTTTTTTCTTTAATAGCTGTCCTTTAGGAGCTCCTAGTTTCAAAATCCAGGCCCCAAATCAAGGTAGCAGGCCTAAAATATTTCCACATGGGTAGCATTTGATACTTGTTCTTCTATCTGATTTCTTCATAACCAACTCAGCATATTGTTCAAAATGGATTGATGCAAGAATATCTGGGATCAGACTACCTAGGAGGACAAACAAAGGCTCACAGGGTGGGAGCAAGTTGTAAGAGATTGGATGCAGTACCTTCGATGAAAGGCAAGTAATTGTTACGGGCTTAATTTAGTTCAAAAGCTTTTATTGTATGTCAACTATATGCTACCAATAGCAGTGGGCAAGGAGTATTCAGTGACATGGTAAATATAACCCCGTTCTTCACTATCACAGAAGATGCAGGCGAAAACTTAATTCTGATTGGGTATTAATTTTGTACCCAGCCTCTGTGACCTGGATCCCTCCTCCTGGCACCAGGGGGCGCAGCACCATGCCTCGGCTGGGTGGTACCGCTGTCCCCACTTCCCTCCTCGCTGCGCAGCACTTCCGGTGACTGGCGGAAGCAGGGGCCGGTGGCTGCGGACGCCGGGGTCCCGAAGCATGGCGGGGGAGGGGCCGGGGGAGGTGTGCACCGATCAGGCTAGGGCGACCCTCGCCCCGGCCCCTTGAGTCAGGACTCGACAGGTGAGAAACTTGTCCTTTGGGGCCCGGCGAGCCCGGAGGCCGTCCTCGGCGGGCTCCTTCCCGCGCGACACCGGGCCCGCGACCCCCGCCCTCTTGCGAATGCTTTGCCTCGGGAGGCCCCGCCCCGGGCTCTGCTTTCCGGGGGCGCCTCCTTGGGCACGTGTACCAGCGCCCTCCTTTTCTCTTTTTGGAAGCAGTCACCTAGAGTGCAGGGACGTATGCACTTTTCCTCATGGGGAAACAGACCCAGCAAGGGGAAGAAAACTTGGTGTTACACATTGAGCGAGTGGCGGATCTAGCCCTGCGAGCTTCTTTCGGCCCCCTATTGTGTACCAGCCCCTGGGTGACGCCCAGAGAAAGTCGAGGTGACCGAAGTAGACAGGGTTACTTCCTTGTTGGGAAAATAGTTTAGGAGGGGAATCAAATGTTTACCAACACAACCATGCAACTGAACTTGTACATAAAAATTGTGACCTAACTATGAAAGGACAGGGAAAGATGCGTTCTGATGTAGATAGGGTGGTCAAGAAAGACTTCCCCAAAGAAGGTGACCCTTCAGCTAATACCTGGAAAGTTACAGCAAGGGCCCGGCAGAATGCATTTGAGAGAAATGAAGCATCCTTCAGTGGATGCCAGGGCTGGCCAGGAGCATGGCATGGACTGGGTGTTGAAGAAGGGAGTTTGCTCTGTGCCAAGCACTGTGATGGATATGTGGAAAACAGTCTGTGTGGTGGACCTAGAAAGATCACCATCTAGTGAGGGCTGTATATGTAAAAGTAAATACAGACACGTGTCAAGTGTCAAGTGCAAGAAAGGAGGAGAGTGGCTTGTATATTGGGATGTTTTTGACCAGTGATGAAGCTCATATCTGAGACGGTTATCAAAGCCAGGTGAAGAGCTTAATTTCTGTAAAGGGCCAGATAGTGTATATTTTAGGCTGTGGTCTGTCACCACTACTCCTCTCCTGGTTCCTAGGGCTAAATGGCTATAGGCAGTTTGTAAATGAAGGAGTGTAGCTGTGTTCCAGGGAAACATTCTTTCCAAAAACAGAAGCAGAGTAGCAGTTTACAGCTCTGCCACCCCCAGGTCTCAGTATGTATTTTATATCCGTATCCAGTGAATGTTGCATATATACATATATGTGTGTGTGTGTGTGTGTGTGTAATTTTTTCAAAACTTCCCTTGCTGTATTTCTATATTTTCTTTTGTGGTGCTGGGATCTGACCCAGGGCCCATTGCCCATTAGGAAAGTCTTTGCCTAAACACCATGCCTACACCCCCCCTTTGAGCCCCATTTCTCAGATGATTGGTGATATTATGTATACTTTCTTTGTTGGCCATTTGTATGTCTTTTGAGAAATGCCTTTCAAGCACTTTGTCCATTTTTAAATTGTGTTTTGTGATTTGTTGTTGAGTTCTGGTAGTTCTTTAAATGTGCTAATATTAACTTCTGACTGGCAAATAGCTCCTGTCCTCCCATGGGTTGCCTTTTACATTTACCCAGTTTTCTTTTTGTTACCTATGCTTTTGATGTTTTGTGAAAACCATTGTAAGTTCATTAAGTCCAACCATTGTCATGAAGCTTTTGTGATCCCTCTGCCTCTTGAGTTCTGGGATTAAAGGTCACCATGCCCAGCCGTCCCCTATGCTTTCTTTAGGAGGTTTTATAGTTATAGGTCTTATGCTTAATTTTTAAAAAAAAATTTATTATTTTTATTTTTTGTATGTATGCATGTATTTTCTGCATGTAGGTAAGTGCACCCATGTTGTGCAATGTCCGCGGAGGTCAGAAGAAGCTGTCAGATCCCCTGGGACTGGAGTTATGGACAGTTGTTAGCTACCATGTGGGTGCTGGGATTCGAACCTGGGTCTTCTGCAAGAACAACCAGTGTTCTTAACTGCTGAGCCATCTTTCCAGCCCTATGCTTAGTTTTCAATCAATTTTGAGTTAATTTTTGTAAATAGTTCAAGGGTCCAATTTCATTCTTTTGCAAATAAACAATTTTCCAAAAACCATGTTTTGAAGAAACTTTCCTTTCCCTATCGAATGGTCTTGGTACTATTGAATACCATTAGACTACGTATGTGAGCTTCTTAGACTTTGGATATTTGAGAAAAGCAACTAAGAGGAGGAAAGATTTATTCTGGGCCACAGTTTCAAAGGGCTCAGCCCATTGTCATGGTGGGGAGGGTGTAGCAAAGCCAGGAGACTGAGAAAAGGGAACCCAGGAAAGAGCCAGAGCAAGATATAGCTCCTAAGGAAAAGTGCCCATGTCCTTCCCCACATATTTCTCCTACCTAGGCCTGCCTCCCCACAATGCTGCCACATTATAAATCCATGAGGGATTAATCCATTGATTAGGTAAGTGTCCTGATATCTACTTGTCTCTGGAATTGCCCTTACAGACTGATCTCTTAGAGGTTTCCTAATCCAGTCATGCTAGAAGATTAATCCTGGTCTGTGAGTTTAGGCCTATCTATCTTTATGCAAGTGCTATGCTTTTTTTTTTTTTAATTGTGACTTTGTAATATGTTTTGAAATCAAGAAATATGAGTCCTCCACCTATTGTTATTTTTCCACATGATCTTAGCAATTTGGTATTCTTTGAGTTTTCATATTAGTTTTAAGATGAATTTTTCTGTTTTCACAAAAGTGCCATTGGGATTTTGATAGAGATTGTTTGAATCTTTAGATACCTTTAACAGCCTAGTAAGTGTGTGTGTGTGTGTGTGTGTATTTTTTTTTTTTTAAGACAGGGTCTTGGGGCTGGAGATGTAGTACAGTTGATAAGAATGCTTGACAAGAGTATACACAGTCCTGGTTTCAATCCCCACAACCCATAAACCAGGTAATGATCACACAAGCCTGTCTCTCCAACAGTGGAGAGGTGAAGTAGAAGGATCAGAAGTCCATGATCATCTTTGACTAAGTAGCAAGTTCAAGGCCATCCTGGGATATGTGAGATCCCAACTCAAAAACTGACAAAAATAAGATCTTACTATGTATTCTAGGCTGGCCTTGAACTTGAAGTGATCATCCTGTCTCAGCCTCCTGAGTGGTGATCATGTGTGTGTGTGTGTGTGTGTGTGTAGGGGTGTTACATGTGTGCCACCCTGTCCAGTGAATTTGAGTTTTACACTGTTCACATTTGTTGTGCTTGTAGGTTTATTCTTTGAAAATTCCTATTAGCTGAGTACACTTAGAAGGCATTCTTTCAACTTGCATCCTTCAAACCTGTTTTTAGATTTAGAAATGTCAGGATCACTTCCTAACTGTAATCTCTATAATCTTAGAAGGAGAAATGTGGCCATGTGGATTCAATAAGAAGAGAAATCTGTTTAACTTGCATATATTTATGTTTTGGTAAATTTGTTCTGTTTTCTTGACTTCTGCTTTATTTTTTCATGCAAAGATGTAATAATGGATCATCATGTTTCCACCATTAAACCTAGAAGAATCCAAAACCAGAATGTCATTCACCGTTTGGAACGCCGGCGCATCAGTTCAGGCAAGGCAGGTACCCACTGGCACCAGGTTCGCGTGTTCCACCAGAATGTCTTTCCCAACTTCACAGTTGTCAACGTTGAGAAGCCTCCTTGTTTCCTGCGTAAATTCTCGCCTGATGGACGCTACTTTATTGCTTTTTCTTCTGACCAAACATCTCTTGAAATCTATGAATACCAGGGCTGCCAGGCAGCAGAGGACCTCCTTCAGGGATATGAGGGAGAGATCCTGTCCAATGGCAATGACCAGCGGTCAGTTAGTATCCGAGGCCGGCTCTTTGAGCGCTTTTTTGTCCTGTTGCACATTACTAATGTAGCGGCCAATGGTGAGCACCTGAACCGGGAGTGTAGCCTCTTCACTGATGACTGCCGATGCGTCATCGTGGGCTCCGCTGCCTACCTCCCAGACGAACCTCACCCTCCTTTCTATGAGGTATATCGGAACAGTGAGTCAGTGACTCCCAACCCACGATCCCCTCTAGAGGACTATTCCCTTCATATCATTGACCTTCACACTGGCCGCTTATGTGACACACGTACATTCAAGTGTGATAAAGTGGTCTTGTCACACAATCAAGGGTTGTACTTATACAAAAACATCCTGGCCATATTGTCTGTGCAGCAGCAGACCATTCATGTCTTCCAGGTGACTCCTGAAGGCACTTTTATTGATGTACGGACCATCGGCCGCTTCTGCTATGAGGATGACCTGCTCACTGTGTCAGCCGTTTTCCCTGAGGTGCAGCGGGACAGCCAGACAGGCATGGCCAATCCCTTTAGGGACCCTTTCATCAACTCCCTGAAACACCGGTTGCTGGTGTACCTCTGGCGCCGTGCAGAGCAGGATGGTAGTGCGATGGCCAAGAGGCGCTTCTTCCAGTACTTTGACCAACTACGGCAGCTGCGCATGTGGAAGATGCAGCTTCTGGATGAAAACCATCTGTTTATCAAGTATACCAGTGAGGACGTAGTGACGCTGAGGGTCACAGATCCATCTCAGGTATGGGGTAAGCTCTCCTACCTGTATGCCACTGGTCTCCTGGACAGAATGGAAAGGTTATTCTGCCTATAGCCAATCCTTCAGGAGTACACATCTTATGTAGTGTGGATTTTTGCTATTCTTGAGTTCAAACTTAAAGGCAGTTCCATTTTCGTCTGGTCACATGTATTGATCTGGACAAATGCAGGGTAAATGTCAAGCTAGTGCCTTGTAGATAATTAACTCTGTGGTTAATTCTTCTGCAGAACGATTTCAGTACCTTTCAGACAAAAGCCCAAATGCTGTAAGGTCAAGGTTCGGACCACATATGTATAATTGTACCTTGATTTTATAAGGTTGTGCTTATTGATCCAAACAGGCTACTTTGGTTCTCGCAGTGAGAATAAGCATGCCATGCAAAAATGGAAATCCTTTAGGGCTTAGTGGTAGAGAGCTTACCTAGTGCACGAGGCTATGGGGCCCATCCCCAGGACTAAAAAAAAAAAAATCCAAAAATCTGAATCACAGCCAGGTATGGTGGTGCACACCTGTTATGCTAATAGTTCTAGCACTTAGGAGCCTGAGGCAAGAGATTCTGAGTTGGAGGCCAACTTAGGCTGCATAGTGGGTTCCAGATCATTCAGGGCTGTGAGACCTTATCTCAAAAACCAGAGGAGGATAGTTGGTGGTGGATGGGGAGGAGCCCAGACACTTCTAAGACTAGAATTAAAGCACCACGTGGAAATTCATGGTACCCTGGATGTTTGTCTTTGAAAAGCCTACCACTTCAGTTTTGTCTAAGCAAGAGGCCTTTTTGTACATTTGGCTCCCTTGCCCTGAGTCAGTTCTGTTTGGGAAGTTCAGAACAGCCAGGCAAATAGTAAAACCATAAAGGCAGCTGACTCCAGTATCTCTCTTTGACCTGCATCTGACTACCATTAAGAAATACTGTTCAGGATTGGGGAGATGGTGCAGTCGTTAAAGTGCTTGTCTTGCAAGCAGAAGAATTTGAATCCCCAAAACCCACATAAATATTGGGTGTATTTGGTGGCTTGCTTGTAAATCTCAGCACTCAGAAGGCGGAAACAATCCCAGGAGCAAGCTGTCTAGCCAGACTAGCCATATCAGTGAGCTCTGGGCTCAATTGAGAGACCTTGCCTCAATGACTAGGATGGAGAGCGACTGAAAAGACTCACATCCACCTTGGGCCCTCACTTACATTCTCATACATGTGTACACACACATACACTACACATATGAGAAAAACATAAAAAGAGATATTGTAGATACTGTGCAGGCATCATTCTAAGCTCTTAACCTGTAGTAAAATATCTTCCAACAGTTTTTTTACCCCTGAATCAGCTTTTGCTTTCTAAAATCGGGGGACGGGGTTGCCAAAACTAAGATTTTATGTTTTAAATTCTTTTTCTTCCCTGTTGTTAATGATAAATGGGTGGCACTGAACCATCACAGATGAACATCAAGTTCATCTTATGTGTATGGGACATGGGCAGTAGAGTCCTTAACTTTTGTCCTTTCCTGTCCTTAATTTTCCAGCCTTCCCTTTAGGGAAGTGTGTAATTTACCTTTTAGGTAAATGTGTAATTTATATTCACATAATTATGAAAGATCCTGCTAAAACCCTGATATGATCGAAGTGATGTCCAAGTCTATAGAAAGGACACGAGCCTGTCTTTTATTTAGGTTTGAGATATAATTACCTTTCTATTTGGGAAGAAATAAGTTGTCTGTGATCACTGTGTTGAGTTTTCCCTTTGCTAAAAGGTGACCTATTTTTTTGTGGTAGTTATATTCAGTTGTAGCTAGAAATGCTGTTGGGGCCATGACCTCTGTTCGTGGAATCTGAAAATCTAAACCTAGTCTCTGTACCCCAAATGTTGCCCTCTCCTCGTCCAGTTTAATTTGATAGGTTCCAATAAGGTTAATGAGTAAAAAGTGCATCCATACACAAAGCCTTGTAATATTGCGGGTATTATTCTCAGGTTGCTCTCCAGCCTCTTTAATTTACAGCCAAATTTAATTTCCAGGTGACTGCAAAGCCATGTAAGGGGAGCTCTGGGAAGGACTAATTACTAGTAAAACAGGTGGGCCAAATGGCTCCAGAGATGCGTAATGGAGATTTAGACTCAATCAGAGGAGGGTAAAACACTAATCCTCGTGTTCTGAAGACTTAGAATTGTGCTGGTAGCTTGCAGACTAGTTCACACTGCTACATTCACGGAGACAAAAACTCAAGGTCCCTGGATCTTCCTGTCACTCAGGGCAGAGCACTGGATGTGTAAAGGAAGACCCAGGGGCCCATTCAGAAGATGTAGTAACTCTGCCACCTATGGCATTTGAATGCTAGGTTCCCCCTCTGATCTTAATTGCTACAAATCTCACATGTGCCTTACAAATGCTCTTGGCTGAAAGAACATTCATGAAGAAAGAAATGGAAAGTGCCTCTCGGATTTTTCATTTGTTCACCCGCAGTATCCTGCGTGGATACAACTTGCCTGGGCAGTTTTAGTACACAATGTACTTAAGGCGTCTCTCTGCATGCTAGAAATATTAAGAGGGAAAAATAAATGCCCCTAAATTGAACTTTCAACTATATACACACAAGAGAAAATCATTTGCCAACAGGCAGCCCCAGGCTGCAAATCACTTTCTCAGCAGGAAAGAAAATTAAATCTGGCATTTTAAAAATGTGGTTTGTTTTTTTAATCGAGGGGTGGGTTGGGAACAAATAGGGAATAAACACTTGGAAGGAAAAGTATTGAATTTGCACAGTTTGAAAAGAAAGATTGAAAACCTTTTTATACATACATGCTGGCTAGCTACATAATTCTAGCAGCATGGCTGCAGAATCTGGTGGCATTGAGGCTCTAGATTAATAGAACCACTGCTGCTTCCTCCAGAACCTCTGGAGCTGTATCTCCACTGTAGTGCCAAGGCTGAAGCCCTTGCTTGGATTGTTGGATGGTTTGAATTTTCAGTCAAGTGATACGTTCCCTTGACATGGTGTCCCATAGCTCGCTTTCTTCCTCTGCAGGCCTCGTTCTTTGTGGTGTACAATATGGTGACAACTGAGGTGATTGCCGTGTTTGAGAACACGTCAGATGAGCTTTTGGAACTCTTTGAGAACTTCTGTGATCTCTTCCGTAATGCTACCCTGCATAGTGAAGTCCAGTTTCCCTGCTCAGCTTCCAGCAACAATTTTGCAAGACAGATCCAGCGCCGGTAAGCAGTTCCACCAGGTTTCCTAAGCTTAACTTTTCTATAGGTTGGAGATAGGTGGGTAGCCATTTGCTCTAGGACACATTGTATTCTGTTTGTCCACTGGGCTTGGTTAGGTCTGTCTGCCAACCTCTGGGTTATCCTGAATGTTTCCTGTCCTTCAGCACCTGTGTAATTACTTGTGCATTTTCTGACTCCTGCCTAGACCATATGTGAACTGCAGAAAGATAGAGACTGTGTCTGTTTATTGCTGTGTCCTCAGTGGTACACTGTCAAGCCCTTAAATATTTGTTGATTGAATGATTAAGGAAATCATTTTGGAACTTGTGGTTAAAAATGGTACATCAGACGAAGGACTAGAGGTCTGAACCATAAGAACAGAGGAGACAGAAGCCAGAGATAATATCTTAGTTTCTTTTCCATTGCTGTGAGAAAAACACTGACCAAAACCAACTTTGTGAGGAAAGGGCTTATTATTTTATTTTACATTTTTCAGGTCACAGTTCAGCACTGAGGGAAGTCAGGGCAGGAAATCTGGAGGCAGGATCTGAAGCACAGATCATGGAGGAATTCTGCTTATTGGCTTACTCCTCTCTGTGCTCAGTCTACCTTCTTGGTTTTTTTTTTTTCATTTTTTTGACTAGTCCCAACCCTCCTGGAATTCACTATGTGGACCAGGATGGCCTAGATCTGCCTGCCTCTGCCTCCCGAGGGCTAGGATTATAGGTGCACGCACCACACCCAGCTTTCAGTCTGTTTTCTTATACAACACAGGGCCAGGGTTGGCATTGCCCACAGTGGACTGGGCCCTCCCACATTAATCAGCAATCAAGAATATGTCTCATAGACATGGCCACAGGTCAGTCCAATGGAGGCAGTTTCTCAGCTGAGGCTCCCTCTACCCAAGTGTGTCAAGTTGACAACTGAAGATATCCAGCACAGATATTAACAAACTTTTGGAAATTGAAAACCCATAGATGAGTAATAATTAACTTGCTATACCTCAGGGAACAAAGGCTTAAGGCACCAGAGTTTACTCATCAAGAAATAAGCCTGATTTCCACCAGATATTGCTTCAAAAAGTCAGAAAGTTAAAGGCTCTGTATACCTCTGGGGTACAGCTGAAATAACAAAACTTGGTGACATTCTAGTAGTATGTCAGTCAGGTCCCTGAGATCCCTTCCCTATACCTGTAACCTAGATCCAGACCCTATAACCAAGTGAATGGTAATCCCGTCTCTTCATGAAGGACTGGAATTTTATTCCCCTGATGAACTGAATAAGAGAGGTTCTTGTCTCAGGTTCTTGAGGCAGAGCCAAGAATAGAGTGAGACATACCATGCTAAACACAGGAATCGGGCTGGAGAGGTGGCACACAGGTTAAGAGCACTAGCTGTGCTTGCAGAGGACATGGGTTCGTTTCCCTGCACATGGTGGCTAACAACCATCTTTAACTCCAGTTCCAGGGGATCTGATGCCCTCTTCTGACCTCCATGGGCATTGCAGGAAACAAGGATGCAGGCAGTACACCCTTACACATAAAAATAAAGGCCGGGCATGGTGGCTCCCACCTTTGATCCCAGCACTTGGGAGGCAGAGGCAGGCAGATCTGTGAGTTCAAGGCCAACCTGGTCTACATAGCAAGTTCCAGGCCAGCTGTGGCTACGGGGAGACCCTATCTCAAAAAGACCAAAATAAATAAATACATAAAATAATAAATTTTAAAAAATACTTTAAAAAAACAGGAATTAAGTGAAAGTTGGCATTCAAGGTTAAGATTCCAATTGCCCCTCCCAGATACCGCATCCAGACTTATCTGTTCCAGGCAGATGAGAGACTTTTTCTTTAGGGAAACTGACCAACACGAAGAGGAGAGTTTTAAATATTGACAACTAGAATTCCTTCACAAAATAGGTCACCTTGAATTGGTACAAACTAATTAGCAAGGTCCTCTTATGAACCAGAATATCTAAGAACCATCTTGTACCTTAGTATGACAGGAACAGTTCCTTTGTACTGAATGCCCAATCCAAACCCAGTCTGGTCAGGCAAGTCCATACCAGCTTTCATACCTAAATTGTTCTAACCTTATCCAGGTATGGAAAATATCTGCTTTAGGTCCCGAGATAGGTCAGACCACATTGAGTGGATGAATCAGAACAAGCATTACTGCTTCTGGGAAAATGAAAAAACAGATAATGCAGTAGCACCATATTTATCTAAAAGGGCAGTTCTGGACTGTACATAAAGGTACTGATGTTCTGACGACTCATTTGCCTTTGCCCTCTCTGGTACATATCTTTTGCCTTAGCAGCATAATTTTTTTCTTTTTGATCTTTGAGACAGGGTCTTGCAGTGTAGCCCAGGCTGACCTTGTACCCATGGCAATTCTCCTGCTTCAGTCTGCCTAGTGCTAGGATTACAAATGTGGGTCCCCCTCACCCCCTTTTTAGTGTCAGTACTGGGAATTGAACCTAGGAATTTTCTTTCCAAATTAGCTTTTAAATTAAACAGTTTTCCTAGTTTGCTTTCTGTTGCTGTGATAAACACCATGACTAAAAGCAACTTTGGGAGGAAAGGGTTTACTTCAGTTTACAGATCACAGCCTATCACTCAGGGAACTCAGGGCGGAACTGAAGGCAGAAACCATGGAGGAAAGCTACTTGCTGGCTTACTCTCCAGCATGTTCTAGCAAGATTTTTAAATACAGCCCAGGACTACCAGCCCTGGGACTAGTTCTTCCCACAGTGGGCTGGACCTTCCTATATCAACCATTACTTAAGACAATTTCCCACAAACATGGCCACAGGCCAATCTGGGAAATCCCTTCCTCTTCCCAGGTGACCCTAGTTTGTGTCAAGTTGACAATACATACTAACCAGTGCAGTGGGTATACTTAGTGTTCTAGTTTGTTCTTCATTGCTGTGACAAAATACCCTGACCAATACCAACTTGGGGAGGAAAGAGTTTATTCAGCTTACATCTCCCAGGTCACAGCTCATCAGGGAGCCCAAGGTAGGAACTCAGGGCAGGAACCTGGAAGCAGGAGCTGGAGCACAGGCCTTGGAGGAATGCTGCTTACTGGCTTGCTCAGCCTGCTTTCTTATGCAACACAGGCCCACCTGCCTAGGGTGCCCTCCCACATCACACAACAATCAAGAAGATGCCTCACAGACATGGCCATAGGTCACTTCAATGGAGGCAGTTCCCCAGTCGAGGCTCTTTCAACCCAGGTGTGTCAAGTTGACACTAAAGCTCTCCAGCACACTCAGTCAAAACATCAAAGAAGCAAGCACCATGAGGTCAGGGCTTTTGTCTTATGTTCATTGCCACATCCACAACATCACACGAGAGGAGCTCAGAGATAGCTATTGAAAGAATTAAGCGGGGGCTAGAGAGATAGCTCAGCGGTTAGGAACACTGACTGTTGTTGCAGAAGACATGGGTTCGAGTCCCAGCACCCACATGGTAGCTAAGAACAGTCTGTAGCTCCAGTCCCAGGGGATCTGACAGTCTCTGCTGTCCTCCATGGGCATTGCACAACACAGGTGCACTTACCTACATGCAGGCAACACACGCATACACATAAAATAATAAATAATTTTTTTGTTGTTGTTTTTTTTGAGACAAGGTCTCCCTGTAGCTGCAGCTGGCCTGGATTTGCTAATGGGGACCAGGCTGGCCTCGAACTCATAGAGATCTACCTGCCTCTGCCTCCCGAGTGCTGGGATTAAAGGCGTGTGCCATCACACCCAGCTTAAAATACTTTTTTTTTTTTAAAAAGAAAGAATGAAGTGATCCAGGAATTAGAGGAAACTTCTGGAAGTGAGCAGAACTTCAGGAAGCCTCAGAAGGAGAAAATACAAGTGACAAGAAAGTTGTATTTTCTGCTCATTGATCTTAAAAAAAAAATTGTTTCATACCACTAAAGATTTTGAAAGATTATAAATGCCCTTATACATCTCATCACAGTAGTATCTCTTAAGAGCATATTTTGCTGACTGCCCTATTGTATTTTGCTTCATTGAAAATGTAATTTTCAATGTAAATTGCAATTCCTTTTTATTTCTTGTGAACACATGGCTCTAAATACAAAATTTTATGATAATCTACTGGTATAAACAAATGGTTAGCTTATGAGTTAGAATAAAGCAAGCAAACAAAATGGTCTTGAATAATCATGAATGATTTAAGAATAGCGTTTATCTTGAAGAGACTAAAACAAACTAGAAGAGAAAGAGTAGAAACAGGAATGCACTCACTAAAGCATTGAAGTCATAAACACCAGCATTCCTAGGACAGGAGAACTCTTGGAAACTTAAATTGTTAGATGCAGCTGAAGAACTCTCCAAGAAAATAAAATGAAAAGATAAGGGAAACAGAGCAACAACTAAAGAAAAAACTAGAGGATTTTCCCAAGAGTTTCCATATGTGGCTAGTGCCAGGAGACTTGGAGCAGTGAGGGGAAGAAACAGTAGGAGCACATTTTAGTCCTGAAGGACATGACTCCAGATTGTTGGGACTGGTGTGGCCTGGCTCATTAGAGCCAGCTGTTAAACTTTCAGGAATTTTCACAAGCTTATCATTAAACATAGCCATTATTAAAATTTAATTACTTCCTAATTATTTTCTTATTATACCTTTATTTGTGCTTTTGAGTTATTTTTTATCTGTTTGGTAGAAGCATTACATTAATGATGTGCTGTGGCTCATCTCACTATTTAATGATGTCACATTGGTACCTTGAAATTGGCCACAGCAGGAAACTTTACACCACAGAAATTGACAGGTGCTATAAATCATGTCACCTTACCCCAAGAAAAAATCATAAGTTTTACCAGCATTCTGCTGAATCAATCAAGTCCCTATAGCCAGTGAGATACTCACAGTAAGGCATAGCATCATGAACTTTGGAATGTTGGCGATAAAGATAAATTATAAAAACTTTTAGAAAGAACATATGTTTCACATGTAAAAAAAAGTTACTAGAATGGTATCGGACT